ACTTCTTCAGCTGTTACCGCTTTTAAAGGGAGGTAGACATAAGGTCAGAATTAAGAATAGATTCTTGGGGTATGTCTTGAATAACCAATTAAATGTCAGGTCTGTACTAACAAGAAAAGTAAGCAAACAGGGTGGAAGTGGGTAAGTTATTTTTTCGTGTCCCGATAAACTGGCACATTGACATGCCACCTTATGTCCCCCACTTTAACTTTCGGAAAAGATCTAAGACTTAGTTTTTAAATTTCCTTAAGAAACATTTAACCACTAATACATGTTTAAAGCAAAATGACTAACAATACATTTTTAAAGCAAAATGACCACACACATATCACCACCTCTAGTCATTATGTCCACACAAACATGTATTTATGAAAAAGCTGAGTATCATCTACCATGCATTCAATTGTGAAAGCAGAATAATATATCATATTTTCATCACTTCAAAGCTCTCAAGAAAAATAGATGTTGGCATTAAATTGCCCTTCAGGTGTTGATATGCTGTTAAACAAACCAAATCAAATTATTGTAAGTATAGTTTTTCGTGTTATTTAAAGCAAAATGATATTTAAGCAAAATGTCTAACAATACATGTTTAAAGCAAAATGACCAACAATACATTTTTAAAGCAAAATGACCAACAATACATTTTTAAAGCAAAATGACTAACAATACATTTTTAAAGCAAAATGACTAACAATACATTTTTAAAGCAAAATGACTAACAATACATTTTTAAAGCAAAATGACTAACAATACATTTTAAAGCAAAATGACTAACAATACATTTTTAAAGCAAACTGACTAACAATACATTTTAAAGCAAAATGACTAACAATACATTTTAAAGCAAAATGACCAACAATACATTTTTAAAGCAAAATGACTAACAATGCATTTTAAAGCAAAATGACCAAAAATACATTTTTAAAGCAAAATGACCAAAAATACATTTTTAAAGCAAAATGACTAACAATACGTTTTAAAGCAAAATGACTAACAATACATTTTTAAAGCAAAATGACATGCAATAGATTTTCTAGCAAAATGGCCAAAAACGCATGTCAAGCCTAGTTGAAAGGATACAATTCTGTTCAAAATATTTGGACTTCGGCGTTAAATAACCCAGGAAGAGGTTAATATGCCGCTAAACAAAATCAACCAACTTGAAACAACTCTTTCATGACATTAATCCAGATAATATCCTACAATTTCTTAAATGAAACAAATTGTATTCCAAAATATAACTATAACATAAAACACACATATCACCACCTCTAGTCATTATGTCCACACAAACATGTATTTGTAAAAAAGCTGAGTATCATCTACCATGCATTCAGTTGTGAAAGCAGAATAACATATCATATTTTTATTACTTCAAAGCTCTCAAGAAAAATAAATTTTGGCATTAAATTGCCCTTCAGGTGTTGATATGCCGTTAAACAAACCAAATCAAATCATTGTAAGTATAGTTTTTCGTGTTATTATTTTCCCATGCGCCTTTCGTTAATTATTAAAACAGGCAGGCATTATACAGTGTTGATTCTGATGTCCATGCTGTCTACATCTATAAACACTGTATCCTTGATATAGAGCTCATTTCTCTTATAAATACAGCAAGCACATAGTCTCTATTGTTTTTTTTTTTTGTTTTTTGTTTTTTGACAACGAGTTCTACAGGGTTGTTGATGGCATTTTCGTTGAAACTTTTCGTTTAAATAAGGTGGTGAGGTAGTTTACGACTTCATCGAGGTCGGATTGTCGCTCGAAGCGTGGCTGATCATTTAGGTTAAAACCACCTCGATGAAATCTATCAAACAACTTCTTGAACGTCCAAAAAGACGAGGCACGATCCAAATAAACCTTCTGAATACTTTTTTTGGCCCTGTTCCGACGCTTACCTCTTTTCGAAATTCATAGAACACAATATGGTGAAATTTCAATTTTTCATCCTGTATCTTGGGGACAAAACGCTAACATTCAACAAAATCTTACTCACAAGTGAACGATGGAAGGATTCAATCTAGATCAAACCAGAAATCGGTACCATTACAAACGCCTGTGTTAAGTTGCAGTTATTTCATACTAACAATGAAAATTGAGCAGGAACTTTTGTAATGATCTTACTTATTATAAAACGCAGATTGTGTGTGTGTGTGTGTGTGTGTGTGTGTGTACGCGTGTGTGTACGCGTGTGTGTGTGTACGTTTATATATTGGATCGGATTTCCTACATTTTTCAAACCGATTTCAAAAAAACTTCACAGGACTACGTAAAATTACCTTTGGTGGTTCTGATAGCTAAAAAATTGAAAAACACAATTATTTTGCACGAAATCAATTTGAAAACACGATTAAGAGGCATTAATGAAAGGGGGACAACTCATATCGAGTTATACTTATTAATATCGAGTTACCTAGTTATACTTATTATAAAACCCAGGTTGGCTCTGTGTGTGTGTGTGTGTGTGTGTGTGTGTGTGTGTGTGTGTGTGTGTGTGTGTGTGTGTGTGTTCGTTCGTTTATATATGGAATCGGATTTTACATTTTTTTAACCGATTTCAACAAAAACTTCTGTTTTTTTTGGCAGGTAGTGTTTCTTATTGTCTTGCACACGTTTTTCTTTATTTTTTACATTCAGAATGCTTTAAAAATTCCATTTACAAGACAAATGTTTATAATAAAATTCTATTCAATCGATAGACTCATAACGATTGAAAACAATGTTTTTGTTTGAGTTTGGGTTTGACCAATTCGTAAAAAAAAAAAAAAATAATAATTAAGACATCGTGTCCGTC